CATATGCATATATTTATTTATGCATATATATATTTATTTATGCATATGCATATTATTTTAAAAATTAATATTATATAAAGGTATTGCTGAATCATCACTCATGAAGTCTGCATTTAAAACTTGCATGACTTCAGTTGTTTATGTTTTGATAAACCTGTTTTTCCGGGTTATGACAGCTGAGTGGTGGAGTATAATGCATTGAATGTATCTGACTCAGGCCGACGCCTCGTGACATGTTTTATTATGTTTATAAATCGTTTCATAACACACAAAGTGCACGGACTGAAGCAGGTGTGTGTTTGATTGACAGGTGTTGCACTGTCAGGGTTTACACACACAGGTGCGAGCGACCTGTGTGGATTATCTGAGACTGAACCGATCTACCTATGAGCTGGTGAGACTACATAAAAATGCATTTTGCATTCATGTATATGTTTTCATATTTATACAGTCACGTTGTGAGCATGTCATAAGTGTATTAAAGAAGGTTTCTTTGTTTTTGGTAGTTTATTGAAGGCAATTTTGAGAAGTACCTGGAGAATTTACAGGACCCTCAGGTAACATTGTGCATGCATGCAGACGCTCTCATCCGAAATGCTAAACTTCAGTTTCTCATTAAAAACATCATTTTCAGTTCTGGCTTGGTTGATTGCACAGACTATTCAGTATTAAAATGTAGACATTTTCTCTTTTTTCCCCTTATATTGCTCTGTCCGTTTAGAGCTGGGTTGGACAGGTGGAGATCACAGCTTTGGCTGAGCTCTATAAGTAAGAATATTACATTTATTTACGTATTTTAACTGCATGAACTGTGATGACGTTTGCTGTCTTGTCTACCATTATACTTCAATCACCCGGACAGTGGTTTTTATGGCCGGCCTTCATGAAGTAGCTTCAATAAAAATCATGTTATTGATTGTTGAGAAGCTGTGGCCAGTCGTGCATTATGCTCACTTGAATCAATTCGATCACAAATGGGATTTATTGGCAGCAAAAAAACATCTCAATCGGATTTGTCATGCAGTCAGTTTTCTTGCTCCTATAAATGACGATCCTGAAGGGAAAGTGCTTACATTGCAAATTGTGACGTGCAAAATACATCATATCATCAAGATTATCAAATCATGAATCAAAATCATTTAGAATGCAAGCGTTTTCTGAAATGCCCCTCATGACAATAGCATGACATACACTACTTTTAATAAAAGAGCATTAATCCTATAATGCCTACTGTATCATATTTGATACGCAAAGGCCTCTAAATGATCAACATGATCAAAACTTTGAGGAAAAACACATTGCACACAATCTACTACATGCCTTCTGTCATCTGATTCTGGATTGCATTGCATTATATGTTTGGATCATTTCAATCTCATTTTACTAAAACAGATTATTGGAGATATTGATTGACGACTGATATTGCTCAATTTGGGCCTCTGAATACAGCTGAGCTGTTTTTCCTCCATATTCTCATTTTATCAGAATATATGAGCCATAACAGCTTGATGGATCAAATATGATACTTAACAAAAAGCACTATGCAAAATTCTTTTTTTAATGTTTTGTCTAAAGTTTCGATAAACTTCCTTTTGGCTTCACAGGGTTAAAGTGTATTGTTTTTATTATTAACAAATCTGACGTTTGTTATTTCTGATGGTGTGATGATTATTTTCTCTCCAGGCATGATTTCGTTATTTTCCAGGAGCCTGATCAACCCCCCGTTAACATCACAGAGAATGGCTTCACTAAAAAGGTGCAGACATGCTTTCATGCAAGATTATTAGTTTTTAATATTTGAAAAATGTAAATCGGTTTATTTCCATAACACTCTTTCTCTGTCAGGTGCGACTGTGCTTCCTCAATGGAAACCATTATGACAGCGTTTACCCACAATCTTTTGAGAAAAGTGCTGCTATGTGTCAGTGTGAGTGCTGCTTCATTATTTAATGATATAATGCTGCTTTATGCTTTCAGTATCATAATTACATTAAACTGTGTCTCCACCTCTAGCGATCCTGTATGAGCTGCTGTATGATCGAGTGTGTGGCGTCGAGCGCAGTATTTTAGGTCCGTGTACGAAAGGAGGGAAAGGACGAGATAAACTGGATTCAGAGGAATGCAAGAGCAGTGAGGAGTCTGACCTGGAGGAAGATGAGTTCTGGTACGGATTTGCATGTGTGCATGAGACGTTTTCTCTCACAGGATCATTAGTGCAATGTTATATCATGTTTTATGATCCAGTCAATCCCAATGGATGAAATGAAATCCTGCCTGGCTTAAAGGAGTAGTTTACCCAAATATAAAGAATTTGTTGAAAATGTACTCACCCTCAGGCCATCCAAGATTAGGAT